AACCACCATACCGCAGAACTCCTATGTACCATATATTCAAGCCAAAACCAAGCTCACTGGCCATTGAGTCAATTCCAACTCATAGCAACCTTATAGGATGGAATAGAACTGGCCCCTTTCAGTTTCTGAGGCCTCATCTTTCTCCCATAGAGCAGCTCATGATATCAAACTGCTGACTACGTGGTTAGCAGCTAAGTGCATACAACCCACTATGCCACTAGGGTTCTGTATTAGTTTGCGTACTTTAGAGAAACAAATCCACACAAACTCATATATAAGACAGAGTTTTCTATAAAGGTTAAGTGTGCATCAAGAAAACATCCCAACCCAGTGCTACCCAAGCCCACAAAAATTCAACATTAACCCATGTGTCCAACACCAATCCACAAAGTCCTCCTCCATTTCACAAAACACACGCAATGATGCCGACTGCAGGAGGAAAGCTGAGTCAGTGAATGTGTAAGCACCTCAGCACTGGCAGGGGTCTCCACATGGCTGCTCCAGCACTCAGGGCTGCATCGGGGTAGGTCCATGTGGCTTCTCCTGGGGGATGTCTTGCAGAAAGTGAGCCTTGCCAGCTAAAGCAGGGAACTGGCTAAGGCAGCTGCACCCTGGTCCACCCATCAGAAAGCAAGAGACCCGAGACCTAGAATGGCGAGGTTCACTGAACCATTTATCTCTCTGCCCTTCAATTAACCCCACATGTGTTTATTGGCCAGGTTGGCACAATAAACTACCTCAGGTTCTATATGTGTCACTAGGCAAATAATCTCTAAACATTTTAATTTTTAATTGATAAGCTCTTTCTTTCCACAGAACCACAATGTCGTTATTGCACATAAAAATTAAAATTCTTTAATATCTAATATGCTCTTTGTGTGTGACAGAGAAAGAATTTCTTGAATTATTTCAAAATTAAAATAATTTTACAATTTATATGTTTGAAACGGAGTCCCTTGGTGTCCAGATGATTATTAGCAAGCACAGCTGCTAACCAAAAGGAGGAAGGTTGGAATCTACCCAAAGGTGTCTTGAAAGAAAGACCTGATGATCTGCTTTTCCAGCAGCCAGCCATTGAATCCACTGTGCATCATGGTTCTACAATCACACAACTGGGGTCGCCATGAGTTGGAACTGATTTGGCAGAACCTTGTCTGATATGATTGAAACAGGGTCAAAATAATGTCTGCATACTGCATTTATTTGATAACTCTCTTGAGTCTTTCTTTATCCATAGTCATTTCCCCCAGCCCCCCCCCTTTTCTATTAAATACCCATATTGGGGGCTCTTACATCCCTTATCACAATCCATACGTTCATCCATTGCATCAAGCACATTTGTACATATGTTGCCATCATCATTTTCAAAGCATTTTCTTTCTACTTGAGCCCTTGATATCAGCTCCCCATTTTCCCCCTCCCTTTCCCACCTACCCTCCTTCATGAAGCCTTGATAAATTATAGATTATTATTTTCATATCTTACATCGTCCTGTCACCCTTCACGTCCTTTTCTGTTGTTCATCCCTTTGGGAGTGGGTTATAGGTCAATCCTTGTGATTGGTTGCTTCTTTCTCCCCCCCATCTTCCCCTTATCCTCCTGGGATCTGTATTCCCATTGTTGGTCCTGAGAGGTTTATCTATCCTGTATTCCCTGTGTTGCGGGCTCTTATCTGTAGTAGTGTTCTGGTCTAGTCTGATTTGTAAGGTAGAATTGGGGTCATGATAGTGGGGGGCGGAGGAAACATTAAAGGGTTAGAGGAAAGTTGTATGTTTCATTGGTGCTGTATTGCACCCTGACTCATCTCTTTCTTGTAACCCTCTGTAAGGGGATGTCCCGTTGTCTACAGATGGGCTTTGGGTCTCTACTCCACACTCCCCCTCATTCACAATGATATGATTTTTTATTCTTTTTATGATCACACAGGCTGGTGTGCTTCTTTCATGTGGGCTTTGTTGCTTCTCAGCTAGATGGCCACTTGTTTATCTTCAAGCCTTTAAGACCCCAGACTATATCTTTTGATAGCCAGGCACCATCAACTTTCTTCACACATTTACTATGCACACATTTTGTCTTCAGCAAATGTGTTGGGAAAGTAGCATCACAGAATGCCGGATTATTAGAACAAAGTATTCTTGGTTGAGGGAGTACTGGAGTCGAGGCTCAATGTCTGTCTGCTACCATAATTCTTAACATATAGGTATAAGTACATAGATCTATTTCCCTATTGTTATGTATAAATATATTTACATATGTACATGCCTGTATTTAGACCTCTATAAATGTCCTTTACCTCCTTGTTTTTTCCTCTAATTCCTTTTACTTTCCTCTTTTCCCACTATCATGTTCAGCCTTCATTCGGGTTAAGTAATCCCTCACGGTTCCATTGTCCTTGATTAAGCCCCACTAGGCATCCTACACTCTTCTCACCATTGATTTTAGTTCACTTGTTGTTCCCTTGCCCCTGGGTTGGTTGATACTCCCCTCCTTCCTTTCTCCCCCAGGGAATACCAAAAATAGACTTTGGGGATAGAGTGTGGCACACCCCCCCCACACACACCGTAGACTCTATTTATAGGCTTTTCCTTTTTTTGTCATTGGCTTTCTTTTTGTTTTGTTGTTGTTTGGTTGGTTTTGTCATCCTTTGTTGTTTTGTTTGGCTTTGCCTGTTTTTTTGCGCTTATTAATGTCTCTGCATGTCTATCTAGATAAGACAGGTGGGGTAAACAATTTGGAGATAAAAACAACGGGACCTACAGTTCCCAGGGAACACGGGAGAAGGGGAGGTGGGAGAAAGGAAGGGGGCGGTCAACCAATCCCCCTTTACTTTTCATGTCTTTTGTTTAAAAAAAAAGTTTAAAAAATAGCCCTATGGAATCCCTCACACTCAGGATTTGACTCTTCTTTATGGTGTTAACTTAGTATTATATCTCATGCATCTTCTGTAAACTGATAATTGGCTCCAGAGACTTGACTATATCCTGCTTTAGTTTTATTTGGCAAAAATATTTAATAGGTGGTACTTAGTATTTCCTACTATGTTAGGTATACATAATGTCTGTTGGTCCATGTCTAGTGATGCTAAGATTGACTGTGGGTTTAGGTGTTGTCAGCTTGATCTGTTCATTCAAAGTTCCCATAAACAACTAAGGGTTTTAGCAGTCATTTAAAAGTGTGCCTAGAGCTGTAATTTTTTCATTTTGATTTACAGAATGGTGACTTCCTAGTTTTGTCATTCCTTCCATATTTATTAGCTGTACTTCTTCTAGAAGAATTTTTCCTCATCTGTTTAGTTACCTACATTTTGTTCAGGCAAATGCTTAATAATGTTTCTTTATTAATTTTCAGAACAATGAGTTTTGATGCTTTAGTAATCTCCAAAGAAAAACAAAGAGGTTTTTTAAAACAAAAATTTTTATTATAATTTAAATGCCTAGTTCAGTCCATTGATGTCATAGTCTATTTGATACTCTGATTGTTTCATTTTGGACCAGTGGAAATCCCTCCAACTTAGCTCTTGTGATATGTCCTCAGTGGTTTTTGAAAGCTTCTTTTTTATTGTGCAAAGATATCTTAATCACATCTTAGTAATTTATTTGTGAATGGCCCTTGATCTGAAATGATCTGTGTTCCCAGTGCCATTTAAGAAGTGCTCACTGCTACTAGATTATCGTTCCTTCTAAATATTTTCAGTGGTCAGAACTAGGAAGTAGTATTTTTGCAAGGAGGGGAAGACATGAATTCACACTAATACTCCAGTTAAAATTTAAATGATGTTTTTTTTTTACTGAACTGTTTATTTTATACCTTTGTTCTCCTATCTAAATAAAACAGCATCCAAATTATTTGCTTTATTGTATAATGTACATACAAGTAGTTTCAAAACCACTGTATTAGTTTTCCATTGTTATGCAACACAAACTTCATAACTTAGAATAACATATGTATATTATCATAGTTTTGTGGTCAGAAATCCAGGCGTGGCTTAGCTAGATCCTCTGCTCTGAGCCTTCCAGGCTGCAATCATGGTAACGGCTGGGCTCCACTTCTCAACTTGAGGCTCTACTGGAGAATAATTTGCTTCCAGGGTCATTCAGGTTGTTGGCAGAATTCATCTCCTTGTGGCTGTAGAACTGAGTCCCTGTTTGCTTATTGGCTGCCAGCTGGCAGCTGCTTTTGGCTTCTAGAATAAGGTGACCAGATTTTAACATTGGTAAGGTGGGACACCATTGATAAAACTCATATCCTGACGAAAAAGCCACATGGCAGCCGAAAACCGTATACCCTAGATTGTTGTACATTCTTTCCAAAAATCAGGACTTTAAAAAAACACCGCGGGACACGGGAAACATTGTTAAAAATCGGGACTGTCCTACCAAAAGCGGGACATCTGGTCACCTTATTCTAGAAGCCACCTGTAGTTTCTTGCCATGCGACACTTCCCATACAAGTACCTTCTATGTCTAACCACTGCCAGAGAGTCGATTCCACCTCATAGTGACCTTGTAAGATAGAATATTATTCATTTTGTACGAATTGTGTCGTCTACTATGCTACTCACTGCCATCATGTCAGTATTGGCTCATAGTGACCCTATAGGATATAGTAGAATTCTCCCTATGGGGCTTCCAAGGCTTTAAATCTTTACAGGAGCTTTAGAAAGCCTCATCTTTCTCTTGCAGAGTAGCTGGTGGGTTCAAACTGCTGGTCTTGCAGTTAGCAGCTCAATGCACAACTAACCATGCTACTAGGACTCCTTTTCCATATGAGTAGTGCTTTTAAAACCCGCAAAGGGGGTCTCTCCTCACAAAGCAACCCAGTCCTCCTTTTATATGCAGTCTTGTTTACTTATTCATTGTCTTAATATAGTGCAAAGACTTTGGGAGTAGGGGCTTATATTTTAGCACATTTATATATATGCCTGGCACCTAATAGAAAAATTAAGATTTGTTAGATAATGTTGCTAATACTCAAGGTCTATCTCTGCTTTGTCTCTGCAGGTGGATCCAAAAGAGTATATGTTTAGTGGACTGAAGGATGAAACTGTAGGTCGCTTACCTGGGAAAGTGGCAGGACAACAATTTGTCATTCAAGATTGTGAGAACTGTAACATCTATATTTTTGATCACACTGCTGCAATTACTATTGATGACTGTACTAACTGCATATTTTTTCTGGGACCCGTGAAAGGCAGTGTATTTTTCCGCAATTGCAGAGATTGCAAGTGCACATTAGCCTGCCAACAGTTTCGCATGAGAGACTGTAGAAAACTGGAAGTCTTTTTGTGCTGTGCCACTCAGCCCATCATTGAGTCTTCTACAAATATCAAGTTTGGCTGCTTTCAATGGTACTACCCTGAATTAGCTTTCCAGTTCAAAGATGCAGGGCTAAGTATCTTCAATAATACATGGAGTAACATTCATGACTTTACGCCTGTGTCCGGAGAATTCAACTGGAGCCTCCTGCCAGAAGATGCTGTGGTTCAAGACTATGTTCCTCTACCTACTACAGAAGAGCTCAAAGCTGTTCGTGTTTCCACGGAAGCCAACAGAAGTCTCATTCCAATATCCCGGGGTCAGAGACAGAAGAGCAGTGATGAATCATGCTTAGTGGTATTATTTGCTGGCGATTATACTACTGCAAATGCCAGGAAACTAATTGATGAGGTAAGGGGGAAAGAAGCAAAACAAACATGCCTCTCACTTCAACTCATTGCCTTCAAGTTGATTCCAACTCATAGCAACCCTATAGGGCAGAGTAGAACTGCCCCCTTTAACTTTCCAAGGCTGTAAATCTTTGAGAGCAGAAAGCCTTCTCTTTCTCTGGAGGAGTGGCTAGTGGGTTTGAACTGCTGACCTTGTGGTTAATAGTCCAATATGTAACCCACTACATCACCAGGGCTCCTTAGGCATATACCTAGATAGACACATACTCCATTCCAGGGAGTTTCCATTCTTTTCTAATTTGGATATTAAAAATAGTCCTTAAGATACAGTGCCACCCCCACCCCCAACACACACACACACACACACACACACACACACACACGATTGTCTGACAGCTACTTGCTTGGGCCTCAAATTACATTTTCCCAAAGAGACTTTTAAAAAATATAATTCAATTCACTAAACACATGTATTAAACACCTACTATGTGCGAGCTTCCTTGTTACTCTATTTTCTTGATTTTAAGATATATATTCTCCTAATATAATATATGCTGTTCAGGGAGATAAATAGATGGAATTTTCTGTCCTCAAAGAACTTCCATTCTTTATAATAAACAATTTCTACAGAAACACATTAAAGTAGTATATAATAAAATATGACCTTTTCTAATTATGTAGTGGGGAAATTTCTTTAGCATTTTCATTGATTACGTGGTGGGAAAAACATTCTGGAATACAAATTTGGGGCCCTAATGTGACTATGAGCACAATCTCCCATTATTTGTCTTAGCTCTATTGCCATGAAGGGGAAGTGGATGAGGAAGAATGAGGTGGGAACTGTGATGGCAAAAGTTGTAGGCCCATGAGCAGGGTTTCTTGGTGAGCTCTTGAATAGAGAGGGCTTGTTAGGTAGCAGCTTCCACTTGAAAAATAAATGGGGACATACAGGTGAAGCAAAAACATACCTGTTGCATCAGGTTGAGTCCAACTCATAGCAACCCTGGAAGACAGAGTAGAACTGTCCAGTATGTTTCTAAGGCTAAAATCTTTACAGCAACATTCAAACCACTGACCTTTCTGTTAGCAGTCCAATGTTTAACCTACCAGGACTCCTTCATAGAGGTTAGGGGCTCTGAAAACAGATTCTGTGTTGGTATGCATTCCTGTAGGGAGACCATGGTAGGATGTATTGCTTATGCACCAATCAGATTTTTCTTCAATAGGAATCTAAATTTTAAAATCAAACTTCTGAAAATGAGGAAGCGAATGGAAAACTCATCAAGCCTCTTTGGTTGGATTTTTTTTAAGTTGTAATGTGTCAAAGGGATGATTTTAAGAGAAAAAAATTAAAACTGCTCTTTAATTATACATGCCTATTTAAAAATAATTATATATGCCTACAATGGTGAAAACCCAGGTGTGAAACCGACACAATATATATGAGGCATACTTTTCAAAACATAGGAATAATTGTGAGGATGGCACAGGACCATGCAGTGTTTTGTTCATTTTTACATAGGGTCACTATGGGTCAGAGTCGGCTCAATAGCACCTAACAATAATTTTCAGAACAATAGAAGCCAAAGTATAATTTTAGGACTTTGAGGATATTTTCTCTTGTAATTTTACCAATCTGATAAAAAAAATCATGCTATGAATATAGAAAAAATTGCCTCCAACATTTAAGATATCTTAGTTACATGTTATATCAACATATAAAAGGTAAATGTTTTTGTTATATACTATATGATGAATTTTTTAATCTATATACAAATCTCAAATTATTAAGGTTAATTTTTTTTGCTAAGTAATAAGGACTGGGCATAAAGAAGATTTAACTCATTAAAAATGTTATCAAAATGAACACTGTATTTATGACTCACCACATTTGCTTATTCACTCCTTGGTACCTGATGTGTGAAATGGCAATGGTGTATTCCCTTGAAAGGAGAATGAGCAGGAAGAGTAATGTGATGCTAAGTATAAACCCCAAAATTAAACCCATTGCCATCTACTCAATTCTGACTCATAGCAACCCCATATAGGGTTTCCAAGACTGTAAATCTTTATGGGAGTAGACAGCCTCATCTTTCTTCCAGAGTGGCTGTTGGGTTTGAACCCACCACTGAGTTTTCAGTTAGCCCAATGCGTATCCCACAGGACCACCTTGGATCCTTTATATAAATACAGTGCTTACTATACACTAGAAGGCCCTTACTATGTGCTGTGAGCATAACCTCCCATTATTTTCCTTAGCCTTATTACCAGAGCCCTGGTGACATAATGATTATGCATTGGGCTGCGAACCTCCAGGTCAGCAGTTCAAAACCACCAGCCACTCCGTGGGGAAAAGATAGGACTAAATCTTACCACAGTGAATGATGGGGGGAGTGCTGAGTGGAGGCTCAAAGCTCATTTGTAGGCCACTGGAGATCCCCTTGCAGAGAGGCCTCAGGGAGGAGACGAGCCAGTCAGGGTGCGATGTAGCAACGATGAAAAATACAACTTTCCTCTAGTTCCTAAATGCTTCCTACCCTTGCCCCCACTATCGTGATCCAAATTCTACCTTGCAAGTCTGCCTAGACCAGAGGATGTACACTGGTACAGATAGGAACTGGAAACACAGGGAATCCGGGGTGGATGATCCCTTCAGGACCATTGGTGTGAGTGGTGATACTGGGAGGGTACAGGGAGAGTGGGTTGGAAAGAGGGAACCAAGTACATGGATCTGTGTGTGACCTCCTCCCTGGGGGACACACAACAGAAAAATGGGTGAAGGGAGATGTCGGACAGGGCAAGATATGACAAAATGATAATTTATAAATTATCAAAGGCTCATGAGGGAGGGAGGGGAAAAATGAAGACTTAATGCCTCAGGTTTAAGTGGAGAGCAAATGTTTTGAGAATGATGAGGGCAATGAATGTACAAATGTGTTTTACACAATTGATGTATGTATGGATTGTGATGAGTTGTATGAGCCCCTAATAAAACGATTTTTTAAAAAAGTTATAACCTTGGTAACTCCCAGGGGCAGTTCTGCCTTGTCCTACAGGGTAGTTATGAGTTGGTATTAATTTGATGGCAGTGAGTGTGGTTTTGGTTTGGAATCCTATTACCATGAAGGGGAGGTGTATAAGGAAAGAATAGACAGAGTAGAACTGTCACGTATTATTTCCAGGGGTAATAGCTTTATAGAAGCAGACTGTAACAAGTTCTACTCTGAAGCAGCGAACTCTGGTGGCACTGTTTCTATTCCAAGCACTGTTGTAAGGGATGAAGTGAACTTATTTAATACTCAAAAGTAACTTGCACAAGGTCACTCAGAGCCACGGTTCAGACCCAGATAGTCTGGCTCTATAGGCCACAGTCTTAACCTTGAGGTTGTCAAATGCCGCAGCAGTGAAGTTGTTGATTTGCTGGTAGAGTAGAATGTGATGAAAAGAGTATGGACTTTTAAAGCAGTTATTAGGCTCCATCTCAACAGGAAGCCCTGAGATTAATTTGTTAGTTAGCTAATTCTGCAAGCACAGAGTTTGGGAATCAATAAAAAGAAAATACAACGAACATGGGAAGAAAATAACAAAAAGAGTGCTGAAAGACAGTGACTTACATATTTTAAAATGAAGCTCAACTTCCCAGGCAAAATGTTTATAGAAGTTAGTTAATTCTGAGATAAAACATAAATAATACTTTAGTCTCTCATGTCATAACACAAATATCTTAAGACTACTTAAACTAGAACAGTGTTAAACCCTAGAGATATCACAGAATTTTGTTTCACAGTGTTTTTATAAATTACCCATATCATGATGGTTGAGATAGGAAGTATTATAAAACTGGAAAGAATAGGAAATCCAGAAAGCTTGGAAAGTAGGTTCTTTAGAGAGTCAAGAGACTCCTATAAAGATTTACAACCTTGGAAACCCTCTGGGGCGGGTTCTACTTTGTCCTGTAAGGTGACTGAGTTGGAGTTCACTTGAAGGAAATGGTTTTTGTTGTTCTGAAATATGTTACAGACATACACAGGATAAATTCGAGTTTGAATTTCTTGGAAAAGTAAGTTTTAATTGCTTGGAAATAAAAGTATTGCATAGATTAAGTTGGATGGCTGTTGTCAGGTGTTGTCTGATCCAGACTCCTCAACTTATTTGCAAGTCTTTAAAAGTAGAAGAATTTTTATCAAAAGGAGTAAAACTTTTGAGTTATTTGTTTTAGGTGACTGTATTTTGAATTGTTCACCTTAATTTGTCAGTGTATGTGCGTGACTAAAATGAGAGGCTATGAGCCATCTAGAAAAGAATAAAGCAGAGGTAGGATTTTCTGATATTTTAAGTAGCTTTATCATCATCATCTAACAGTAATACCCATACAATTTTGGGCTGATTTAAAATGTTTTCTCTTTTTTTGAGACAAAATTAAGTAGATTCTGAAGTAGGATTTGAAATTGAAATCAGTTTAATGGAATGTAGCCATAGGATGAAATGCTAGGTACAACTGATTTTGTAGTAGAATTGCTGGAAACTGTTCAGAATATTATGTATTTTTGTGTGTTTGTTTTTATTCCTAACTAGTTAAGTCTAGAAAGGTGCTTAGTCTTAGGAAGTAGGTTAACACTAGGGCTTTCTTTCCTTTTGTGTAGTTTATGGATTTTTACAATGTATATCAACTTGAACACAAGGATTTTGAATTCTTAAGTTGTGGGGGTTAATATGGGAAAATGAAAGGAAGTATACCTCTATGACAGTAATATCTCTGAGTGATAGCACCTTGGTTGATACAGCTTTGCTTCTGTTTTTTATTTTTCAAATATTTTATGTTGAGCAGATGTGTTACTTTTTATAATAAAAGCTCAAGCTTTGTTGGGGAAATTAGTTGGCTGGATGACTATAATTTTTATAAACTATTTTTATAGTTATTTTAAAAAACTAATATATGCTCATTGTGGAGAATTTTAAAATGGAAAAAGAAGAAGAAAACTCATCCATAATTGTGCAGTCCTGTGAAGCCTTTTTAGGAATAGTTTTTCAATGCATTTAGTCTGCAATCAGATGAACTGGGTTCAAATCACAGCTCTTTTACTTAATAGTTGTGTGACCTTGGAAAAGTTTCTTAACTACTCCTTGATTTTCTCATCTGTAAAGTAAGAGTAATAGTAGTACCTATCTCATGAAAAAGTTAAATGTGTTAATTCATGTAAACTACATAAACTGATATAAGTAAATGTCCCATAAATGTGATCTAGCATTACCATGCTATACTATATAAATTTGTATTATGCTTTTTAAATTTCAAGGAGCCCCGGTGGCACAGTGGTTAAATCATTCAGATACTAACTGAAAGGTCAGCAGTTTCAACCCATCACGGGACAGTCGGTTTTCCTAAAAATTTAAAGCTTTGAGAAATTCTACTCTGTCCTGTAGGGTTGGATCACTGTGGGTTAGAATTTGCTTGAGAGCAGTGGGCGTGGGTTCCAAAATTCATATCTTTATAATATCTTTGTTTAAAGTAGTTTATTTATCAAAGCATGCAATTTCATTAAGTGAATGTTCCATAATTTTTTGAATGTTCCATAATTTATGGAACCATTCTTCTCTCACTGGCTATTTGAATTTAAATATCATTAAACTAAAGCTTCTATCTGGTTAATTTCAGTCAAATTTTTTGACATTATGTTTTAAATTTTGAGACTATCATAGTTTCTTAGTACTGCTACAACAGAAATGGTTCAAGCAGGTGGCTTTAATGAACTGAAATTTATTTTCTCACAGTTTGGGAGTTTACAAGTCCGAATTCAAGTCATGAGTTCTAAAGGGGAGACTGTCAGCTTTGGGGGAAATCTTTGTCTCAGCTTCTCTAGCCTGCCATCCTTGAAGTTCCTGAGCGGTAAACGAATCTGCCTTCAGATAGTGTTGGTGCCTAATCTGCTCTTTTATGATGCTATCACCAGTGACTGGTTTAAAACATACTGTTCATGTATAACCTTATTGACAAAACAAAGGAAACCTATTCCCAAATAGGATTACAAGTATGAAACCAAAATCAAACCTTGGAAGTCAAGTTGGTTCCCATTCATAGCAACCTCATAGAACAGAGCAGAACTGCCCCATGGGGTTTCCAAAAACTATAAATCTTTATAGAAGCAGACTGTTTTGTCTTTCTCCAACAGAGCAGCTAATGAGCTTAAACTACTGATCTTTTGGTTAGGAGTTGAGTGCTTATCCTCTGCACCACCATGGCTCCTTTCTATGACCATAGGGGTGGTGTAGGATTTACAAACTATATTTTAGGAAGATACGATTCAATCTATAAAAGATGAGTAATTCAGGTGTATTTTATCCTGAATATTGACAGCATGCGCTGCAATATTTTTAAAAAAGAGTTTGACATATAATTCAGTACCATACCAGTCAATGGTTTAAGACACTGCAATATTCATTGTTAACCATTAATACCCATATGGAAGAAAGAACCCCATGTATATAACTTGTTGCGCTAAACATCCTCGATTAAGCATCAAAACCTAAAAAAATCAGCATGCTGTTTTGAATTTTATACAGAAAATTACCGTAGTGGGAAAACATTGTTTTCATCTCAGAGGTTCACTTTAAATTCTAAAGGAGATTTTATTTTCTACAGATGGTTGGTAAATGCTTTTTCCTAGTTCAAACAAAGGAAGTGACAATGAAATCTGAGGATGCTCAAAGAGTTTTCAAGGAAAAAGCACCTGACTTCCTTCCTCTTTTAGACAAAGGTAAGTAAGATACCTTCTGAATGGGTGGTATGGTGCTGTGACATGCTGATTTGAGTAACTTCTGCTTTTGGCATTTCGCTTGTATGGCCGTTTCTTTCTATTTGTTATATATTTTTTCCTATACATTTTCAGAAATGTCAACTTTCACATCACTCAAGAAGCATAGGGGGAGAGAGGGAAGGGGGAGAAAGGAGCTGACAACAAGGGTCCAATCGAAATTAAATGTCTAGAAAATAATGATGGCAGCATATGTACAAATGTTCTTGATACAATAGATGTATGGATTGTTAAAAGAGCTGTAACAGCCCTCAAAAACTGTTTAATAAAAAAGAAGCCTTATATAACTAGAAATTAGCCAATGTTTCTTTTCTTTCCTATTCTACTTTCCTAATAATTGAGGGCCATATTTTATTATTGTGTATTTTTAATGTGCCATTTTATTGCTATGTTATTATACTGAACTGAGTGAACAGTATTTCCAGAGTTACAAAGCACAGGGTTTGTTTGGTTTTGGATTTTTCTCTGCTTTCAGTGTACTTTGACCTTCCTGGCAAATACATTTTAAAAATAAAAATAGAAAAAACTCACTGCCATTAAGTCAATTCTGACTCACGAACCCAATAAGGACAGGTAGAACTGCCCCTTTTTATGGAGTAGAAAGCTTATCTTTCTTTTGTGGAGCAGCTGGTGGTTTCAAACTGTTGACCTTGTGGATCACAGCTCAACTTGTAACCACTGTGCCACCTGGGAAAATAAATAAGCACCATAAGTAAAATGCAATGCTATTTTATCTGTATAGTATGGTATTATTAAGTAGCTTCCCTCCCAGTGAGTGAGTGCCACCAGTAAACTTGAGTTATGTCTATAAAGGAGCTGAACTTCATAGTCCCTCCTGAAGGGTTGCTGTCTTCCTGTGTATTTTAAGGTCTACTGATTCTAGAGAACAAAGTACTGTTTATCTGCCAGAGCACAGATGTTGTTTGCTTAAGGATCACCAGGCTTTTTCTGACTGGCCTAAACAAATATGTACAATAATGTTCTATATTAATTGACTGTATACCAGAGGGAAAGAGAGCATATTTGGATTTACATAATCTTTATGTGCTAATAAATTAAAATAAACTATGAAAATGTAGGGATAATGTTAGGATAATTTCAATAACTAATGCTAAGTGTGGTTAAGCTATTTCATGTATGAATGTAAGTCAAAAAATATATTAAATAGAAATAGCTTTGTATTTATCATTAAAAAGAACATTTCAAGATCTATATGAAGTTCAATGCTATGTGTTATAAGATTATTATCTGTTTAACTACTGTAGTTCCAGTTCATACATGCGCAGTTTTATTCCTAACAAAGCATGTTTAAACGTGGTTGTGTATTCAGATCTACATCCTGCTTTAGTGAGTAACAACTGGTCTTAAGCTCATGAGCTTTTGTAAGGTAATATAATCAATAATTTTTCTCTAAAAACAAGTCTTGGAAGTGGACCGATGACTGTATCCTTAACTGTTTACTGATCCTGGCTTTGGGTAACCTGTTAACTCCCCTAATTGTGCTAACTCCCCCTTAATTGAGTATATTCTGTGTGGCCATTACAGTGAAATTATCAAACCCTGCATAGATGTACTGTAGTGTGGGAGGAACAATTAGTGCTGTAATAAATAAAGAAGTATGGACCGTGGCGGCACATCTGACCTCTGCCTCATGGCAGTAGAGAAGCCAGAAGAGGTCAGATATGATCCTCTCATCACTTACCCTCTGAGAGATGTAAATCAAACAACCATTTGACAATGCCATTGATAGCAAAGTAAAACAATAATAATAAGTGATTTAAAGGCTGCAGAGAGATTGCAACCCTTACACAGTATTGGTGGGACTTTAAAAATGGGCGGCACTCAGTATAACACCAATGAAACATACAACTTTCTTTTTTTTTAATAGTTTTATTAGGGGCTCATACAACTCTTACCACAATCCATACATACATCAATTGTGTAAAGCACATTTGTACATCCATTGCCCTCATCATTCTCCAAACATTTGCTCTCTACTTAAGCCCCCCCGCATCAGGTCCTCATTCCAACCCCTCCCCGCTCCCCTCTTTTTCTTTAGCCCTTGATAACTTATAAATTATTATTCTTGCCCTGTCCGACATCTCCCTTCACCCACTTTTCTGTTGTCCATCCCCCAGGGAGGAGGTCATTGTAATCGGTTCCCTCTTTCCAACCCACTCTCCCTCTGCCCTCCCAGTATCTCCACTCACACCACTGGTCCTGAAGGGATCATCGCCCTGGATTCCCTGTGTTTCCAGTTCCTGTCTGTACCAGTGTACATCCTCTTGTCTAGCCAAACTTGCAAGGTAGAATTGGGGTCATGATAGTGGGAGGGGGGGAGCATTTAGGAACTAGAGGAAAGTTGTATTTTTCATCATTGCTACATCGCACTCTGAAACATACAACTTTCCTCTAGTTCTTTAATGCTTACCGCCCCTCCCACCACTATCATGACCCCATTTCTACCTTACAAATCCAGCTAGACCAGAGCATGTACACTGGTACAGATAAGAGCTGGAAACACAGGGAATCCAGGACAAATAAAGCCCTCAGGACCAATAATGAGAATAGCGATACCAAGAGTGGAAGGGGAAACTGGGGAGGAAGAGAGGGAACTGATCACGATCTACATATAACCCCCTAACAGGGGAACAGACAACAGAAAAGTGGGTGAAGGGAGACATCAGTTAGTGTAAGACATGACAAAATAATAATAATTTATAAATTATCAAGGGTTCATGAGGAAGGGAGGGGGGAGAAGGGAGGGGGAAAATGAGCTTGATAACAAGGGTTCAAAGTAGAAAGAAAATGTTTTGAAAATGATGATGGAAACATGTACAAATGTGCTTGACACAATATATGAATTGTGATAAGAGCTGTACGAGCCTTCAATGAAATGATAACAAAAAAGGTGCGGCACCGTGGAAAGTCATATGACACTACCTCAAACAACTGGGAATAGAAACTCCATATCACTCAGCAATCCCTTTGCTGAGTATATACCTTAAAGAAGTAAGAGCCATAATACTAACAGACATAGGCACACCCATGTTCATTGCAGCACTATTTATAATAAGAATATAGAAACAAACTAAATGCCCATCAGTAGACGAATAGCTGAAAAAATCACCCAGTACATACACATAATGGAATACTGTGCACCACTGAAAAATAATGATGAAACTTTGAAGCACTGCATGGCATGGATGGACCTGACCAGTGTTAAGTGAAATAGTAAGTCACAAAAGAAAAAGTTATCACAGGCTACTGTCATAAAGAAAAAAATCAAGATAAAAATGTTCATACCAAAGGAAACAGACTTTCATGGTTACCAAGTGGAAGAGAGAAAGGGAGGGTTGATAAAGCAGTAGGCTAGAGGGTAGACAGGTGTTAACTTGGGGGCAGGGGAAGATAGTATTCCTCAAGAGGGAGAAGATAAAGGTGGGGTAGAACAAACTTTTAGGGGAGTTTGATAAGTAGTTGTTAAAAACAAAATTTATTATCCAAATTTTCACTACCATTGAGTGGAAGTTTTTAAAAGTCACTTAAGGAAGAAGAAAATGTTCTAGAATTGAATGTGGTGATAAGTGTACAACTCTTCTTGATATGATTGAATTATTGAATTGTATGACATATAGATGACATGCTAATAAAACTGCTAGACACAAATAAAAAAACAGCCACTTGGCCATAAATGCGTGCATTTATTTTTGAACTTTCCATTCTATTCCAGTGGTCTACATATTTATCCTTATACCAGAGCCACATTTTTTAATATGAGTCATCAATGAGTTTGGACTGTTTTTTGTTTGTTTTTGATAATGAGTATTAGGAACTCTGGTGGTACAATGGTTTGGCAGTCAGCTGCTAACCAAAAGATCAGTGATTTGAGCCAAACAGCCACTGTGAGAAAGGATCTGACAATTTGTTCCTTTAAAGATTATAACCCAGGAAACCCTTTAGTGCAATTCTACTCTACCATGTAGGATTTTTATGAGTTGGGATTGGCTCAATAGCATATGACACCAAATTAGGAAGTGTGAATTATTTTACCTTATTCTATTTCAAGATTGACTATTTAGGAATTTGAAGAGTCTATGTGAATTTGAGGTTCAGCTTTTTCATTTCTGCAAAAAAGGGCTGTTAGAATTTTAGATTGTGTTAATTGCTTTGGATAACATTAACATCTTATAATTCTTCCAGAATCACCAGATTTCTTTCCATTACTTTATCTCTTATACAGTTTTCCTTAGCAACATTTTATAGTTTTCAGTGCACAAGTCTTTTACCTACCTGGCTTTATTTTTTTCCTAGTTATTTTTGTCTTTTACATTCCATTGTAAAGGGGATTGTTTTATTTATTTCCTTTCCATATATTATTTCATTGTTGGTGTATAGAAATACAACTGTTTGTGTGGTGATCTTTGCACCCTGCCTTCTACCCCAATTCATTTATTAACTCTAGTAGCTTTCTTCTGGATTTTGTGGATTTTCTATATATAGGACTGTGTAATCTGCAAAATAAGAGTTTTACTTCTTTCTTTCTCATTTGGGCACCTTTTGTTTCTTGCCTAATTTTTTCTAATTAGAACTTCCAGTACAATGTTAGATAGCAATGGTGAAAATGGGCATCTATATCCTGTTCATGATGTTAAAAGAAAGCTTTCATTCTTTTGCCAATGTGTATGATGCTCTCTATGGGTTTTTCATAAATGTAGTTTATCATGTTGAGGAATTTCTATTCTTATGCTAGTTTGTTTTTTAACATAAAAGGCTATTGGATTTTGTCAGATTTCTTTTCTTTTCAGTTGAGATTAATGTGCTTTCTTTCCTTTATCTATTAATGTGGAGCTCCTGTGTGGAGCAAATGGTTAAGCACTTAACTGCTAACTAAAAAGTTGATGGCTTGAATCCAGGAAATGTCCAACAATGTACTTCTGAAA